CCCGGAGGTGCAGGCTTCGACTCCGCTCGAGGACAATCCTTATCTTAATCACGAATGTCCTTGAGCAAGGGAACACTAAAGCACACTTTGTTTCAGACCAGGCTTGCTCAGTCGGAAGAACGTCAGTGTCAGAACCGACAGGTCCTGAGTTTATGCCCCGGTCAGGGCCTAGTCCTTCTTTTACCCAAAGTTGATAAATGAGTACCACTCTGTAGAAAGAAAACAGAAGAATACACGCCACGCTTGCCTACACGGCTGTAAACTCTGTCCTTAAAATAAGGCACTGCTGGTTGATGGCACAGGAACAGAGATCAGCACTATCAGTTTCATGAAAAGGGCGAAAAATGGCTCAATAATGAAAGTGAAATAAGACCGACATTCCCGTGGTGAAAAACTTTCCGTTCCTCTTCCTTATGTGCTAAATTGCCCGTGTGTCGAACGAATGAATCGTTTTCTTTTGAAAAAAACGAAACTACCCAGGAAAGTACTCGAACCGAAACACGCTCAACGATCAACTAGCATGCCATTGCAGGGTGTTCATTAATATTCATGGCAGCACTGAAAATTCCCTCGTTATTAAACACGTTACTCGAAGACAGGGGGGAGGGTGAAACATACCTTTGGAGATGCCATCCAACGCCATCGCCGGGTTTGAGAGCCTGAAGCACGAATCGAAGGTAAGCAGTTCGTTTTCCGCTGGCATGTCGTCGTCTAAACTCCTCGTCGAACAGGCGCCATCCGTAAGCTGTCGCGTCGAGTTGACGCTTGGCACTTGGGTTTCGGTTTCGTTGAAAGAGCTGGTCGACGACTGCGGAAAGTCTTCACTTTCGGCATCGCAATCTGAAGCACCGAGAAACTGGCACAGTCTGCTGATGCTGGTGTCGAGATCCGAGTCTTGCTTATCGTCTGCACAATGAAAACCGGGTTAGTAAACAACAGTAATGATACCATATAATAAATCATTCTTTTAACAAATGAATGAACCGGCGGGCAGCTTTAGGACCAAGGTTGGTCCGTTTTCGAAGTTACACTGAATTCGTGTAAAACTTAAG